ACAACAAGATTCACCCACCTTCTGTTGCTCCTGAAGTATGTCGTCTATAATCGGATCCGCAGCAGGTCAATTTCATGACAGGCAGAAGACTATTTCTGTTGGTACTTACTGATCTGGGGTGCTGCAGTTGGCATGACTGGCACCGTTGGTTGTGCAGGTAATCCAGTGGGGACAGCCACTGGTAACTGTGGGTTCGGTGGTACGAATGGTTGGGTTTGGAAGTGGCCAACAGCACCTGGCGGAATTGCACCAGGTAGAGTTGCGGGTATGAAAGGAGGGTTGACGACGGAAGTTGCCAGTCTCTGCTGCGGTGCTATCGCTTGGCTTTGCAAGATCCGTTGCATTATTGCAGGCTCCACCACGTTCATCACCAACAATGCTTGGAATAAAGAGTAGGAAAGCTGAGGATTCTCGGTCAACAGCGCCCGGACCTGGTCCGGGTTACTTTGAACGTGGAACTGTAGATATGAAAGGAAGAAAAGTCCTTAATCTTTGCTCAATCTTGTACTCAATGCATTCCCAATTACCTTCATCTGAGACAAGACTTCTAGCATTTGTTCGGGAGGGTAAGAAGATAGAGTCTTATTAATGACATCGGTTGACGACTGTCCAGGTATGACTGTCGGAGGGGCCATTTGGGTCGGTTGGGGCATATTTCTGTTTCTCTGTCATCCATATGGAGCTGTTAACGAAGGATATACAAGGCAAACCCCGACAAAAGCGTACATCATCGGGAGGAGGTGCGCGTCCCGCGCCGCCTGAATCCTCCTTGTCACTCTCCGCAAAATCTATACGCAACTGCCGACCTCCCACATCGTAACTATTCAAATTCCTCACTGCACTGGCGGCAGTTTCCGCATCTGGTTTTGTTTTGAGCTATCAGCAGATTAAGCACTTTGCATATTTCATCGCATACCTTGGAAGGTACAGAAGCCATATCCTTTTGGCTTCCCTGTTTCGCGGTCAAAAACCAGTCGAAATGAAACAACCGGGCCTACTTCTTTAAATATGTCAATTAATTGTGGTTCTGTTAAATCGTCTATGGAAAGCAGTGGTGAGCTTTGGAAAGATCTGTGACGGGCGTAAGATGGACATACAGGGAATATTGCCCACTATAGAGAAAAGTAAAACGGTGAGAGGGTGGAACATGGTGATCATTCAGTTCTAGGCAACGTACCAAACACCACTCGGGTAGGTCGTCCTGACATTTTCAGCGTACAAATTCGGGAGATTATTCTGTCCAAATTGTGGAGATCTCGGCAAGCCCAAGAAAGGAATGGAGATAACCAGGATTAACTGTTGTGGAACGAACCGCATTTCATTCGCGACATGATATCCATTTTATAATTCATATTCCCGTTTTACAGTAATATGGCTTGTGCCTAGGCAATTGATAAAAAACACATGGTCATATATTGTGCGAAATAACGGAGCGAACTTTTGGGCAGCGGATGTGTATTTTCGATGCAACGAAAGATTGAGAACCAGCCCTCCTCAACAATTCGCTGGGGGAGCAATATTTCATGTTGACTTTAAGGAATTAACTATTCATTAACTGGATAAATAATACTAGCCAAGATTTGCAACTTCAGATAGGTCAAAGGATGACAGCTACTACGGACACCCACTACTGAGTGTTAATGATCACATTGAATGGCACGCACCAATGTAGTGAACCTCGCCTTTTAAATGCTCCGTGGATAAAACACAACACGGGCATAGTAAATGCATCAACTTACAAAGAATTAGGGATTTGCATACTGTTTTATACAGGAAAAACCGGACACCCTCCGCCACCAACATCCATTTATCCGTCAGATCCAACGAAATCACTGGCGTATGAACGTCGGTTGTGGTGCCGGCGCACCATAGCTGTAAGGATTCAGCGGATTCGTTCCAGGCTCGGGCATCCCCATCAAAGCAGCCCTGCCCCTATCCATCACCATCCCCGCTCCACCACCACCACCGCTGTATCCCGGTCTATCGTGTTTGAAAAAGAACTGCAAATGAAATTGCCGTGCATCCGGATCCCAAAATGTCCAAAATCGCCCCTCAGTCTTATCAATTTCCTTGCTTTGTACTTTAAAAGATATCGTTTCGTACGGCTCTGCCGCAAAGAGGAGGTATTGAAAGTACTTGTTGGGCTCCTCTTGTCGCTGTTCATATGCGGACATAAATCGGTGTCGTGGTTTGATTCCCTCAGCTGCTTCAGGATATTGGATTTGGAAGAGCAAACCAAGCTGCCTTGTATGTGGATCCCGAATCTTGGTGACTTTATATCCCGGGCGCCCAATCTTCACAGCAACTTTTTTTGGAACAATTCGAGGTCCGACGGCTCCTGTTGCATCAGGTATCCCAACAGTTTGAGTGTCCCGTGCATCTTTAGCTGCCCGACGGGCGAGATTGGTTTGATGTTTCTTTCCCTGTGTGTGCGCAAGGTAGGAACCCTCGTTGTTGTGTAGAGTTAAACAAAGCTTGCACTCGTACGAGCCAAGATGGTTTTTCATGAAATATGGATCCTTTGCGAGGTCGATGGTTTCAAGAGCGAGCTTTCGAAGTCGCTCTCTACGGTCTACGTTCGATTCGGATCCACCCGCCACGCCGGCGGACCCCGGCTTTGATCCGACACGGTTTTGAAAGTCCATTGTGAGTGCGCCTACTGATTGTCAACGATCGCAGAGGGACTGTGACTGCAACTGGGAAAGCCGGAAAGGTGTTGTGTGTCGCTGTAGATCGATCGCAGTCTCAAGGTCCTTCGCAGCAATGAATGAAGCTGCGCTGGAGGTTGTTGTCATAGCAACACGCGCTCTGACCTGAAATCTGGCTTTGAACTTTTATTTTGTTTTTGCGCATTTCGTAACATTTGACGCCCGTCGGCTTCTCGTCAGTCAACATAGTTTGCCAACATGTTTGAGGACGAAGAAGAGGAAGTGACACTTACCATAAACCGAAACTTTGCCGAAAAGTATGAGAATAGGAAACGTTTTGAAGAATTTTCTCAGCGTGAGTGTTAAAAATGGAGGCGACTTTTCCGGCATACTAAGATATCGTATTTGAAGTCAAGGCAAAATATGGCGATGAAGTGGATGAGGAGGAAGGTTCTTTCGACTCAGAGTCTGAAGAAGAAGACGAAGTTGGAGAGCTTGTTACTCCAGAAGTCGATGCACAAATAATGAAAACAATTGCGACAATCCGTGCCGGAAAGCCTGAGGTGTATGATCCTAAACAGCATTTCTTTTCGGAAGCGGAAATAGAAAAGGCTCGAGCCAAGTGGAGGGAAAAGCAAAAGGAGGCGAAGCAAAATGGCAAGCCGATGCGGTTGAAGGATTATCATCGAAGACAGCTTTTGGAAGGAGGAGATGACGAAGAGGGGAAACCTAAAGTCTTGACGCATGCGGAGGAGCAGGATATGATCAAACGACAATTTAAGTCTGCGATTGAGGCCGACGATGATGGAGAGGATGACTTTTTGTCAATAAGGCCAAGAAGTGAGGATGAGCAGAAAAGGGACGAAGAGGAGTATCGAAGGTTCCTTTTGGAGAATATGGCCGCGGTACGCTGCTGCTGACAGCTGTGGTGCTTTGGAAACTTGTCTCTGATATAGTAGCGCAATTATAGGACGGAGGACAAGGATTGAAAGACTATAGAGATTACAAAGCTGTCAAGGTGCGTAATCCTGAAGAGGCATTTTTGATGGAGTGAGTACATGTCGGACTACCATCACTGTGGCGTGCGTACTGATTGACTCGTCTTCTCAGGTACATCTTGAATCGGGGATGGGTCGATAAAGAGGCACAAAAGATTCCAACCTACAACGAGGTTGTAGGTGACATTGAGGAAGATGAGGAAGCAGTTGAGGCAGCTGAAGAGTTTGAGCGCCAGCACAATTTCCGATTTGAAGAAGAGTGAGTAGAGAGAAGTCGGAATTGTGCGACCACTGGACACTGACCGCAACTCTGATTCTGAAGGGGCGCTTTTGACATCGTTACACATGCCCGTAACATTGAAGGCACGATCCGGCGAAAGGACGATAAGAGGAAAAGACAGCGTGAAGCTAAGAAGGCCCGAAAAGAGGCAGAAGATACAAAGAAGACTGAAGAACTTAAACGACTCAAAAATCTCAAAAAGGAAGAGATCCGGAAACGCTTGGAACAAATTCGCCAGATTGCAGGTGGTGATGTGGTTGGACTGAACGAAGTCGACCTTGAAAAGGACTTTGATCCCGAAGAGTTTGATCAGAAAATGGCCGAAGCGTTTAATGAAGGATACTACAACGATGAGGATGGTGATATCAAGCCGGAGTTTGGTGACGATATTGATATTAGTGATATCGCTCCGAACGCCGGCGCATGGTCTGTGGAGGAGGGAGCAGAAGAGGACGCTGGGGAATGGGCTGACGAATGGGTTGGTGAGGGGAATAAGGAGCCGACACATCAGGAAGGCAATGAGGGGAATTTCATTATGGATGCCGACTACTTGCCAGGTGGGGAACAGTACGTTGGGGACCAGGTTGAGGAATCAAAAGGTGAGAGTCTACGTGTTGGCTTGATGTATTCAAGTCCACTTAACTCAGTGGTAAACTTGTAGGTAAATCGAAAAAAGACAAGAAGTCCAAGAAAAACAAGCAGAGTGATAATGGGGAGGAAGGGAAAATGTCTTTGGATCAGTACCTGGATGAATATTATCAGCTCGACTATGAAGATATGGTATGAAGAAAAGGGTGATGTTTCTCGTTAATCCTCATATTCCAAGCTAAGTCGCCTGCATCACAGATTGGAGACCTTCCAACACGCTTCAAATACCGTAAAGTTGCCGCCGACGATTGGGGGTTGACGCCATTAGAGGTTCTCGAAGCCGACGATGCCGACCTGAACGAGCTGATTGGATTGAAGAAACTTGCACCTTTCCGACGACAAGATCTGGTTGAGAAAGACAAGGCCAAGTGGAGCAAAAGTCGAAAGAAGCGTCTGAAGGAGTTCCGAAAGAAATTGGCCGTAAAACATCCCGAGGAGGAAGTACATATTGCTGGATCTGAAGGAAAGCGCCATAAGAAGAAGGGTGAGGAGTCTGGACACAAGCGAAAACGGGGTGAGGAAAACGGGGAGGTGGAGTCTACGCGAGATAAGTCAAAAAAGCGAACAAAGCCTGCACAAGAAGATGGCCAAAGTGGATGGTATGTAGATACGAAGGGGCTCAGCAGCGACAGATTGGCAACTTATCAGATGCCAAAAAAGAAATGAGGATAGCAGGGATCACCTAGTCCCAACATTGTACACATAGATCTTTTGCATTTTTTGTTATTATTTTGCACGTTGTGTTTTGTCAAAAAAGGAAGACTACTATAAATACAAGCAAAAACGCATTACTATCGGAAATCAGTGTTTTCTGGCGCCGACCAGCTGGGCGAATTACTTCTTTTGGGGACTGAGGATTCCCTCCAGTTGAGTCTGTCATTACAGGTTAGCACTAAAGCAGGGCACAAAAATATCGGATGGGTGCATCTCCGTACCTTCAACTGCACATTTGTCTTTTTCAAAAATGCAATCTCCTCGGCATGCTTACGCTCCTCCATGGCTCTCCGCTCGCTCTCCCGCTTTTCGATGGCTTCACATTTGGCTTTGAGTTCCAAGACACTTTGTTCCAATTGTCGCTTTTCTTCTTCGAGTTCCTTGATCTAAAGGAAACAAGCATGTTTTTCAGTTCACGATTAACACCAACATCAGATCTCGAAAGCGGTCGGACACGAACCCTGTTTTCCATATCTGCCTTGCCCTGTTCAGCCTGCAAAGCCTTGCGCATACCAAAAGCAACGGAGCTTTCGTATAAAGTTTGGTAAGCAGCGATAGACATGCGGATTTCATCGCGGACGCGGAGGAGGAGAAGACCGCGTTCTTGGCACGAAATTGTGACCTGGCGAATAAGTTCGTCTATGATATCTTGTTAGATTGATTGAAATCCGGAAATTGAGATGCGAGGGCGTATTACCAAAGCATTGACTGTAGAGTTCCCTCCGGACGGGGTCAATCCCGGTCTCGCGAGCTTGCCGCTTCTGAAGCATGTGGTCTAGTTGCTCCTGTTTCGTGCCGTTAGCACCTGCATCCCAGGAAAAGCACGGGCAAATATGGGTCTACCTGCAAGTTAATGACATCTAACCTCGTAGCCGGCGTACTGGAAACTTTCTGAACCCATAATTGCCCAGTCTCTTCCCATTCTCTGTCATCAACAGCAGCATTAGCGAAAGTCGTAACGAAGTGGATCCCGCGCAGCAGACTCAATACCTAGGAGGCAAGATTGAATTTAAGATGTCCTCGGTCTGACTGGGAGTCTTGGGACGTCCCTTGTCATCCACAGGGGGAAGCTGCTTCTTTCCTGGTGGAAGAGGTGCACCGATCTTTTTGTCAAGGACAGTGCCTTTGAGAGGTGACTTGGTGGAAGCATCCGTTCGGGAAATGAGGACGGGATTGTCGTATTTTACGAGCGAGTGAGAGGGCTGGATCATGGCTGCTTCTGTGATGTTGAAGAACGCTGGCGGTTTGGGTTGTGATGTCCGGTCGGTGTTAAAGGTGGGAGGTTATGTAAGCACTATCACGTGGTTTAGGATTGAAGTCCGAGCTTCATTCCTCCCAACATTTTCACACAACCAATGTTCCAACGGATTCTCATACCTATGTAATGATGGATGTATTTGCCAGTTACCCCAAGATGAATAATATTGAAAAAAAGAATGTAATGGGATGCCAAAAATGGCGATGCAGTTCACACAGTCACAATCTAGCTCTCACTATTCTAAAACCTGTCCTGCGAAAAACTCCTTCTGTTGCCCGCATTTTTCATTTGTACATAACGGACAGCGGAGACCCAGTTGGGTCGAAACCGGGCGTTTCGAACTTAGTTGTTTTGATACGAGGTCCGCCATAGCGTCAATGAAGACCGGATCATCATTGAGGGATTCCACGCGTTTGAAGCCCGTAAGCCCTTTCTGTTGTTTGAACTCTTATTAGAGTGGACACCAATATTTAGATAACATGAACCGCCAAATTACTATACCTCCTTGGCGAGATGTCCGTACTCAACGTCTACCTCAAAGAGTGTCTCGATGTGATCGGAGACGAAAGCAATCGGAATCATAAGAAGATTTTTCTTGCCGAGCTTCGCATATCCTTCCAGCACCTGATCCGTTTGGGGTCCCAGCCAGGCGCGTGGACCAACTTGCGATTGCCAGATCAGTCGGTAAGGATTTGAAAAGCCCAGGCGTTCCATCACCCTTTGTACAGTGGCGGCTACCTCCTGCGGGTAGGGATCTTAAGAGAACAAAATTAGAGAGCAAGCAAGGTGAATACCCCAATTGCCATTAGTACCTCCTCGATTCACAACAGACATGGGCAGGGAATGGGCGGAGAAGAGAAGAACAGCATCCTTTCGTTCATTTTCGGGGTACTCTAACAATGCCTTCTCGATATGTCTGGCAAATACCTAACAGCCAAGAGTAAGAATTCTGCAACCCGCTCCACGTGGATATCGATTGCCAACTGATATAGGTCACATGTGATGCCTACCTCCACCAACCCTGAATGTGTCGGCCATCTATCCACCACGCTCCAGCGAATCTTGTTCTCCGGATCCAGCACTTTTAAATTCTTCCACAGCTCATTCAGACTGCTTCCAGTAGTTGAGCAGGAGTATTGTGGATACAAGCTGAACGCTACAGCGCGTTCTACTCCGTCTTTTTTCATCTCCGCGAGTGTTTCCGGGGTTAATGGCGATGAGTAGCGGAATGCAATGTAGCTCTTGTGGGGGGCTGCAAAAGCGGATGCCCAGAATTACGACTGATCGTCTTAACCTGATACTGAACGCGCCGTGCAACTCACCTGTTTGTGGTGACAACTTATCTAATCTTTCCTCCAGCATCTTCCCTTGCTTCTCTGTCCAGCTCAGAATTGGGGATCCTCCACCAATCGCAGCATATTGCTCCTGGATCTTGGGTGTTCGTCGCTTGGCAAGGAATTTGGCCGCAGTTTGTTGAAACGGGATGGGAATCAGGTCTCCATCCGAAAAGAGGTTTTGAAGGAAGGGCTGTACTTCATTGAGGTCTTTAGGGCCCCCAAGATTCATTAGAACAACCGCAGTGGGTCTAAAATAAGGAAGCGTATCTCAAACATGGGCATACAAAGACTTGAGAAAAGAGAAAGAACATACGGTTTACTTGTTGTTGTAGCAAACTGGCGGGAGATGCTGTGGCGGTTTGCCCCGAACGCCCATGCTAACGTTGCGGGTGAGTGTTCGAACCTCGAGAGTAAAAGGGTAAAAGGTGCCTTACATGCTACCCGCTTATGTTGTAATCTCAGCATCCCTCCTGTTTTGTCTCGCCAGCCTTCTCCAAAAGATGCAGATCACAATTGCCAAAGATCGCGGTAAAACCTCATTTAAGAATGGGCTCCCCGATCGAGGTTGGGCCGGACACGTGAGGTGAAATATCCGTTGCAATATATATTGGAATTACAGCTTAACAGACATTTGCCCAAATTGATTCACTTTTTGAATGCCATTATGATCTTCTGTCTCCACGACGGGTTACAGTAGCGAAATCATGTATAGATAAACACAGCGCGATCATCCTACACAATCATAATATATTGATTGCGCTGGAGCAATTTCCACATTGGAGGAAATAAGGTGTTCAGTTGGTTTTCTCGGGAAATCTGAAAATATATTCTTCAAAAAATCAGATAACTTGCGTAATCCCGCTACTATTGACCATCTCCTCTTTGGTAATAAGATGTGTCGTCTTCACAATGCTGCAAATGGTATCGACGGTAAGTCATCGAATCGACGCAAAGCACCACGTCTGATCAAAAATACATACAGTTCAAGCAGCGAGTTAATGTTGGTGGACCACTCGTTAAGTACCGCATTGGGATCCTTTCGTTGTTGGAAGGAAACGATGCCTGCTGGTCGGTCGATTCTCGCCCAAATGGTCTTTTTAACAACCAGATTGGAAAGGAACTCCTCCGTTTCCTGTTTTGCGGCAGGTGAGTCTTCCGCAATGTAGCATACAAAACACGGCCAAGACGCTATCTTACCGATGGGCTCAAGTCCAAGAGCTGAGTCAGGCGTTTCACCGTTATCCGATTGTAATATTTTGCAACAACCCGAATGTTCTAAATCGCCGCAAATGTCAAGATCAAGCTTCTATGAATCTGCGCACTGGAGAATTCAACTTACGTGCTCAATAACACGCTTATGCAACTCCTTGTACCGTTTTTGTCCGTCCTCGTTCTTGAGGTCGAATACGAAGCTCTCTCGCCACATGGTTCCATAGATTTCCTCCATTTTTGGCCATCGCATGAGCTCAATAATTATGAAGCACTTTGTGAACTCCCTACATCCAGTGTTAGTCAGCTGAACTCGTGGTTGTAGGCAGATAGACCCACATACTTGTAAAGTGGAATCTTGGCCAAGAAGGGATCCTCGTAAACACGGTGAATCAGATCCGACTGCTCGTTGTCATAGGGCGCTAGAGCGACGAAGAAAATGATATTTCTAAGGACCTGAAGTATTGTTATTGGGAAGCTCGAAGACATGTGGGGCATACAAGGACGCATTAACGACATTACCTCTGTTTTTCTTGCTTCATCCTCTTGCACGGAAGGGGTATCATAAATCTCACGGAAGTACTTGCAAACATCCAGGTATTGATTCTCATGCAGGGCATATTGAATCATCAACTCATAATAGCGCAATTTAAGATCCTACGCAGAAGTTTCGTTAGATCGAACTCCGTCAGATAGTGAAGGTTCAGAACTTATCTTACCTGGGTCTCTGTGGCTTTGAAGTATTTCGTGCTGATCTTGCGACTTATGATTTGAACGCGAGGGAAGTCCTTCTTGGCTAAGCAGAGTCTCATTTGCTCCAGAATGAAGTCCGTCTTCTCACGCTTGTCCATAGAACCGAATGTTTCCACCTGACACAAAAACAAGGATTTCAGTGACAAGTCAAAGATTGTATAACTTGACTGACACACCACTATACCTGGACATCCTGTAAAATATCGGCAGCTTCCACGATGTTACCCTCATCTTCCTTTATTTTGGCCAGGGTTCGAGTCAAACGTGCACGCTCAACCTCCACAAAGATCTGCCGAAACAACCTGGTCAAAATCTGACACATGAAAGAACAACGTGGCCGTTATTCCATACCTTGCCCTCGGTCACCGTGCGCAATGTATTGATAAGTTCTAACTTCGTCGGCATATCAGGAGTTTGGTCGATATATGTCATGGCCTCTTGAATCATTTTGGTAACAGCCTGTTGTCCAAGTAAGTACGTCCCCGTATTCTTCTCATTCATGATATTGCAATCTCACCTGCTTCAATAGTCCATGCTTCTTTGAGAGTAGTATGATGTGTTCATTCAACAGCTTCCAGTCTCCCGAAAGTCGGCAAATTTGCATGGCAGCGATAAGCAATCTCGAGTTTGAAATCATGTCAGCAGCCTGGAAAGCAACATATCTCTTTAGCCGAGAGAATCGAAGGAAAACTGCGACTATCGCAGAAAGAAGAAGGCATACCACACGTGTTTGCTTTTCCAGGGCTAGCAATTTTTCGAGCGCTTCGGTTATGTTTCCTTGCTGTAGGATCAATTAGTTTTCCTGAAACGACCAAAAGAAGTGCCGGTGTCCTCTCGCTCATAGCCTCCACTTCCCCAACCAAAACCAACGGTACCTTTGCCGTCTGCTCAATTTCCGGCAGCTGGACGTCCACAATCCCGGAATAATCCTTTTGCATCTTCTCTTCTGACATGGTGATACTTTTGCGCGTTTCTCAAGGGGGAATAGAATAGGAGCGTGTTATCGTCTTTGAAGTATATTTCCTGTGTGTTCAGCCTTTCCACTGTTCTCGTCGGTTGGCTCAACCTGCGCGTTTTTCAAATGCTGATGGATTCTGTAAAGAACTGAAAGTCCAAAGGCCCAAAAGCGACACGTCAACCTAATCACGTGATTTTAGGATGGAACCACATTTGGTGGGTCATCAAGCTTTCTCACCATGAATCTGATTCCATTCTTGTGAGTTCGGAACTTTTTCACACTGCTTACTCCGACCGCAAATCTACATCTACATCCAAACTTACTCATCCTTGGAAAGAGCAACTAATTTAACACGGAGAAAGCGCATCTCGAACCACATATACCCACTGAACGCTTAGCGATCTTACAACTGTTGCGATGCCTCGACAGTCGACTAGACCGACACGCAAAGCAGCAGCCCGGGCTGTAGCATCACCCATCTCAAAGGAAAAGCGCAGTCCGTCCACTAGTCCCAAAAAGAACTCCAGCAAGAAGCAAAGTCCATCCACTAGTCCCAAAAAGAATTCCAGCAAGAAGCAAAGTCCATCCCCTAGCCCAAAGAAGGGTGCTAAAAAAGCTGCCCCAGCAAGAAAACGTGGTCGCAACGAGAGCAGCCTGACGCCTGAACCAGAAGAAGTGACGTCGATTACAAAGGAGAAAGGCGGCGATCAAGTAAATGGCAAACCTACTCAAACCTCTCCGCGCGCCAAGAGACAAAAAGCTGGTGAGTGACAGCAACCTGTTGTTTGAAGCAATCTGATTAGATCTCATCCGGTTGAGCGGAAGCTTACCTATCTATTGTCCACACAGTGTCAGACTTCAACATTCCCTTCCCATATACTAGGACTGGTGACGTTTTTGTCGTCGGTAGTGGCGACTGTGGTCAGTTAGGGCTCGGCCCGGACGTCTTGGAAAAAGAAAGAGTGGGTCTATTGCAGTACTTTCGCGACAAGAAAATTGTATCCATTGTCGCTGGCGGCTTGCACAATATTGCTCTTGACATCAATGGCAAGGTAAGAGCTTCACTCTTTTTGTAATCGCGCATCCTGAACCTGCATTGAAATGTGCGCTCCTGAAATTGATAGATGTATAGTTGGGGCTGCAACGATCAGTTGGCCCTTGGTCGTGGGGGTGAAGAGACCGAACCTGCTCCGGTCGAAGGCTTGGAAGACAAAGTCGTAGTTCAAGTGGCATGTGGTGATTCTATTAGCGCAGCTCTTACAAAAGAGGGACAGTAAGTTCAGTGGAATGTTAATTGTGGATCGTCATCGTATAATGGTCTGATTTTCCTAATGTTTCTCAGAGTATACACTTGGGGCACGTTCCGCAATTCAACTGGTATCTTCGGCTATTACCCTGGTATCGAAATTCAGCCGCGCCCAAGGCTCGTGAAGGAGCTTCCCAAGCATGTTGCTCAGATCGCCGCCGGTACCAATCATTTGGTCGCAATCACTAAAGAGGGTACGCGTTCCGAGCAGAACAGTAATTTAGTGAGCGTGCAACTAATCTACAAGAACTTTAGGCAAGATGTACACCTGGGGCGTCGGCGAACAAGGCCAGCTCGGTCACAAAGTCATTTCCCGTCACACTAAAGAAGGTTCTCTCATACCGCGCCGTATCAACTTTTATCCCAAGGGCATCAGTAAAAACGGGCGTCGTGTGAAAAAGAACTTCACCAGGGTGTTCTGTGGAGGATATACTACATATCTTGTTCACGAAAGCAATGCCGTTTACGCCTACGGCCTGAACAATTACGGACAGTTAGGTGTCGGTCCAACGTCAGAAGAAGTTTATGATCCCATGCTTATTGATGGGGTGGATCCCGAAAACGGCCTCCAAGCCATCGCCGGTGGTGAGCATCACACACTATTACTAGATGATAAAGGTATGGATACTTGAAGTGTTCAATAGAAAGTTACCGCGAGGTTGTGGGTTACTCATACCAGGCCTTGAACCCCAGGGGATGTCTACGCCTTTGGACGTGGCGACTCTGGCCAGCTCGGACTGGGCAACACCGTGGAGCGCCAGGACACGCCAGTCAAGATCCCAACCCTTTCCAATGTTCGTTCCATCAGTGCCAACGGCTCGTTCTCTCTTGCTGTCTGCCATCCGGTGGAAAACGAAACCGTGAGCAACTTTTATACATGGGGCTATGGCGATATGGGACAATTAGCGAACCAAGGAGCTGGAGACGAAGAAGCCCCTTTCCATGTTGACTTTAAGGGTCGAGAAGCCATCACAGCTAGTGCGGGTGGGCAGCACACAGTAATTTTGGTCCAACCCAGACCCGCACAGCCCAAATCTGAATAGTGGCAGGACACACTGTCCCCCACACGTAGCAAGGCGCATATACATGCGGCTTATATTGTCAATGGTGCTTTTGATACCCTATGTTTTTGGAGTAAAAGCACCAGCGACTTTCGTTGGTTGAGGAAAGGCATTGTTTTGACGATGTCTGTAAGCTTATAAGCTTACCTTTTGCAAGACATAAGACACGACTGTAAATTTCTTTTTTTGTATTGCTTTGGAAAAAAGAATAATAGAGTGGAGAAAAGACCATGATATCTAACTGAGCTGCGTGATTGTATTGTATTGTCGGTTCATGAAATTGATGCGACTATTGTAATGTTATCTATAAAATACATGGCAGCTTCAACTGCATTATATATACATGACGAAACCCTCCTACTTTCTATCCTTTCTTCTCTTGAAGCCCTTCCGAGTGAAATTATTCTTTTGTTCCTGGATTTCCAAGAACTTCCTCTTGTAATATGACTTTGCTTGATTATCAGCCAATAACTCGTCGACAATGTTATCCCGGCGCTCTTTACGGGTGAGGCGGCTAGAGAAGAACTCTGTGGGTCCTTGAACGATCGTTCCAATCTGCGGCAAGCAACTTGGTCAAACAAGTAATTAAGATATAAATGAGAAATAGAGAAAGTGTACCTGAAAGAACTTTGGCAAGGCTTTCATTGTGCCCTTCTTGTAGTGCCGTTTGGGGTCGATAACCGCACGGGATTTGAGAATGTGAAGGTCGCGCTTGATTTCCTCTGTCATGTCGGGTGCAGGCATATCAAACCATTTTGGTCCCGCCGTTTCCTTCTCCATCTGGAGTCGCGTTGCTTAGTGGATAGTTGAGCAGTAATGCATCATAATAATCCAACTTACAATTTTCTTCTTTTTCTTATCCCAATCTAATGCAGGTGGTAACGTCTCCGGCGCAGATTGTACGTTTATCGCTTCTGGTCCAATCTGAACCTTCCTTTTCTCTGAGAGTTTGGAACCACTCGCCTCTTCCTTCAATATAACAGTTCGATCAGCTTGGAGTCGCACGGCGCCGTACTTGTTGGTATCTTCTATGTATAGCTCCTCAGATTTGACTCCAGGATCGAGTTTCACGGTTTCGAGGGGGGAAGGCTTTTCTTCTGTTATGGATTTCAATGAACTTTGGCCATGCCGTTATTGTAAAGTCCTCCTGAAATCCTTCTTCAACGACAGCAACTTACATCATGGCTGCTTGTTGCTGTTTGAGAACTTCGGTTGCCTTTGCAAGAAGCTCGTCGAGATCCATATCATTATTGTCTTGGTGCTCCATATCGCTTGTTGGATGGCCAGTGTCAAAGGCTTCAAGTTCTGGAAGTTCAGGACAAAAACAAGTCACCAATCATTCTCTTCTGGGTTAAATTAGATCACGTGAGCAAGTGTCGATGGAGTCAACAGCACGAAGCTTTCCATCCTCGCGTACTAAAGGCACCCCAACATGCTTACAGCAAACGTTTCTCGTCCGCTCTCCTCAGAGTCCCCGCCTTCCTCCCTTGCTTCAGACTCTTCTCCTGAACGTTCCTTCTCTTCCGTTACGCAAGAGCGACCAACTTCTGCTATACCGCCTCCCGATTTCGTCGATGACATTGATTCAAGTTTTGCGGATCTGGCTGGAGAGTCACCTCCGAGTTCCCTTGCATCAAACTCTCCAACACGATCTATGACACCCTTACCTCAGCCACCGGAACCCATTGACATTTCTGAACCGGAGAATACACCTCCTCCAGTGCGAACCCTTTTCCCAATTGCACCAGCTGCAGTACCTGACAAGATCATACCACGTCCCACACAAGCCACCGATAGCACTCAAACGGATTCAGAACCACTCGACTTTGCGTCGGCATCGCGTCAAATAAAAGAATGTTATGGGCAAGCTAGTCGAAAAGCTGACTACATACGTGCTGTTATGTCTTTCGGTACCGGGTCTGCCTTGGAGGTGTACGATATGGCGCAGTCGATAGATGAATTAAGCGTGAATATTAGCAGATTGAAGAGATATGATGATTCAATTCGCAAATTGATGGAGGAGGCAGTGAACAAAACCAAGGTATGCTTTTATGTTTTTCGTATGATAATTCACGGTGGGCGAAGGGCTTATGCCATTTTACAGGCCGAGTATGAAACACGTTTGAAGAACCTCCGAATTGAGAAAGAAAAACTAGCGAAACATGAAGCAGCAATTGCCAAAGCCGATGAACATATCGCAAAAATGGATCGACAGGTGGAGGACTTGCGAGCAAAACGTATACGCCTAGAGGCAGAATATCAACTAGCTTTGCAACGGAAGTTGGCGGAGGAGAAAGAAGAGGCTGTAAAGCAAAGAAATCAGGTATTACCCCATTGATTGATTGTCTCAGATGTCGCGTCTCATGTCACCTCTGCTCTCAGGTCCGCCTCATGATGAAAGTGCTCCTGTCGTCCTTCGTACTCTCCTTTGGTGTCTTCCTTCCGCAATTTACCTACTTTTTGTTTTCCCTGGCAGTTCTTTCCATCCATGTGTATGCTGTAGTGGGCTGAGGAATGGCCGCATGTCGGTTCGTGCCAAACTCTTGTATTTACTTGTGTACCATGATTGTAATATAAGGCGAAGACTTGGGACACTTCTTTTTGCCCTACTCAAATGGATTATCTGATTCTCATGACAATGTACAGCACAGCTGAGTGTCGCAGACAGAATCATAGAGTACGCTGTATAATATCTATACACTAAATTGCGACATCCACCTCCTTTCTATATATCCCCTAAGGGCTTGGCTGTTGACAGCAGTCTCAAAATGTCCATCGGGTCCGCCACCTTCTCCTTTCTGTCTTTTTCCTCGTACGCTTTCAAGACCTTCTCAAAGACCTGATCAGTGAATCTCCGTGTCCTATGCTCAAAGGCCGTTGTTTGACGTAAAACGTGGTCAACATTGTCCAACTGAGCAAGATTCGTCAGTAGCATCGAGGGTGAAAATATTCTGATCGAACGTACCTCTAATTGTAGGGAGTCATATTGTTCTGCCATCCACCCGTCTATGGACTTTGTAAAATCACCGGAGCATACTTCTTCAAGTATTGCCCGTTCGTCATCATTCAGAGATGGCTCAACAAGTTCATGCTCAGGTTTGGATTCGAGACGTGCAATAACATCCGCATGAGCTGCGGTGTGATCTTTGAGTAGAGAGATCCATTGTTGTTCTTCAGCTTTGAGTCTGGAATGGGGTCAAAGTGAGCAAAGATAGGAAAAGTGTTGACATTGTGGGAAAGTACCTCTCCAGATCGCGTTGGTATTCCTCTAATTGTCGGGCGCTTGCTTCATTTTGGGGATGTGGTAATTTTTTGGGTGTTTCGGGCTGTGGTGTTGAATCAGCCTGTAGATGTCATGATATGAATATCCGTCTATTCCCATGCACCTATGTGTCGTACAGAAAGACTTACTGGGCGATGATACCATGATGTATTGATTTTTTTGCTTGTCAGTCCAGCAATAACATCTTCCTGTATTTCCCGAACTGGAGATCAACATCAATCAGATTAACAAGCAGTTGGATGAGGTTCGAACGGAGTCACAAACCATACATATTCGATCAAGATTATCAGCCGGGTCCTCCTTATTCTCATTGCTTTGTCCATCCAACGTCCGTTGGGCGCACCAAACTAAAAGCTGCCTCATTCGATTAGGATCAGATAACTCCGCATCAATGTGTCGGTAGAAATCAGATGGGTCGATCGTTTCGTGAGGCGGCGCTAAAAACCAAGCCAGATCATCCAATCATGTTAATCGAGCCCTTTCACCGCAAGGGGCAACTAGGGAAAAGAACTCACGACATAATCCATTATGTGCAGCAGACACCCTCTTTCCCCGTAATCCTAAACTTGACCTTCTCCGTCCGCCACTATTTCTCATTTGCTTATTTCGCTCAATGATTGGCGTATCACTCGATGGTAAGTTCACAGTATAATCTCCTTCAGAAAGTTTTGAAGGAGCATAAGAACGACGGAGAGTCTGGACGCGAAGGTTGAGGGGTCCACCAGGGACTGCGATGGTCGTTTTCCGACGGGATGCGTTTGGATTCGGTTCGGGGAGAGATTCCTTCGTCTTCTTTTTGGGTTGAGGGGAGTTTGGGGACTCGGTTGGTGTTATGCTTTCCAATTTGATGCTCTTGCTGGGTTTAAAGACGAAGCCATTGTCTTCTCGGAGGTCGTCTTCAAGGAACATTAACATTGCAATCAAAGAAATGAACGCCTAACGCCAGACTCGCGGTGCTTACCATTTTTCTTTGGCTAAAGTAGCAGTATGCACCAACAGAAGATAGCGTGAGTGAAAATGCGACATGTTGTTCTTTATGTGAAACTCCACACACCTTTCTGGCGTAAGGATGCGGTCGACCTTCCCCGTGATCGCCGTGGTTTGTACGGATAGGTCCACCCATACTCCCCTTCTTACCCACTCACAACAATGAACACAATTAGGTGAAGCCTGCGGTTGGAACGTGCGTGCCGTGGGATGCTTCCTGCGTCGTCGTCGTCGTTCGTTTGTTCGTCGAGAGACGCGTTCCTCAAGTGACGCGACCGGACGTTCGGACGCGCGAGTGGAATCTCCATGGCAACTGGGAGCAAACCTTAAGGACAAGGACTCTGTAATGTTTGAAGCTAGCCGAGATCCTGCCACTGTTGACTTGTAACGGACATTGGCCCAACCATTGTCCCATCCACATTGTGACAAAATGCTTCGAACGCCGTGCGCACTTCGTCTCCTCCCTTCCCGATCGCTTCACCGCTCCATTATTGCCCGTCTAGCCACCACCACCACAGCACCAGCAACATCACAAGGTATATACAGTGTCACTGGAAGATTTACAGCTTAGAAACTAATATTCTGCCTAGAACCTCCATCAACGGTAAAGCCCAAGGGTCCCCCAGAACCGTCCTCTTGCAAAGAGGGCACCGTCCTGAAAGGTCTTAACATTCTGAAAGACGGGAAGGACCCGGTCGCACTGGCCGATGACGCCTACCCAGACTGGCTATGGTCTCTTCTCGACCCGCCGAAAAAGGATTGGACACCAGAGGAGCAATTGAGTAGAAAGTATTTGAGAAAATTGACCAAGGAGAAGATTAAAGCGAACTCTATTGCGAAGAGGGCTCGGTGATGGGCAGTGATTGGTCGATTGATAGTTGGGTTGACGGTTCATGTATTTATAGATAAGCACTTTCATTATTGGAATGGATATTTAAAATGGTAGTTTGGCTTTAGTATACTGGTGAGCATAACACCCGTCGAATCTTTTTCGCTAGAGCACCTCCTATAGCTTTCCGCCCGTTTCCACCTGCTGAACGGATCAGTGATTCTCGTTCTGTATCATCATTACATGCCGCTAGTGCTTTCAAAAGACTAAGGATCCGGAAACTAAAATGTCAGGGATGCGCTCGTACTCAAAGTTATCAGATATCCCCACCTTCTCATAGTCGGATAATTCTTTGCAATAGCCACAGCCTTCTCCCCACTGACACCTTTTATCGTCATCAACTGCCGCGTCCAAATTTCCTGTACCCTGTACTCTTTTGACTTTGAGTTTATGGCTTGATACCCGTCAAAGGTCAGATGGCATTGACATCCATGTGTTCCTTCCAAATAAGCCCGCGTTTCTTTGAATGTGTCCCTATTCAGTACTTCACTTGATATCGCAAGCAAGTCCTGTTTCTATAGCGACTACAGGTAAGCATATATCTAATGTGTGGCGAATTGGTCTGTAGAAAACATACTCCAAACTTTGCTATCAACCCTTTCGTCAACCGAACCAGATAGGCAATCGTCTCATCCAAAGACGCAGTCTGTTTCAAAAAGAATCCATTGACAACTTGAACTTGTGCCATGGCCGTTCGAATCGCTGTCAGCCCAAAATTGAGCGCTTGGACCATGCTAGGTGATTTTTCGACCAGGTAAATTGTGTTTCGAAGGCCGCTGTTGCCTAGACGGAGCTGGGGGTGGTAAGTACTTTTGCCGTCAAACGTGTGAGTTAAAAAGAGGTTTAGGCATGTACTTTTTGGTCCTTGAATCGGGAATCCTTGATACTTGCTATTAGGTCATCCATTGTTTTGCGTTCAATAACATAATCGAGTACAACTTCTTGTCCCTCGTTGGATGCATCTAGTTTAGATAAAGTTAGGTATGAGGTCGTGATTAAGGCCGTGTCTTGAAATCCGTACTTACCTCCCCGTAATTTGGCAACCCATAGGAAATCGCCTACGGTTAAACTTCTTGTCAACGTCTTTATTCCGTGCATCTCGAGCTGTTCTTGAATGTAACTTCGGTCTTTTTTGAGTTTGACTTCTCGCGTGTCGACAACAATGTATATATCAAATCTTCCTGCCGCGTAACGCAGCGGTACAGGCGTATTGGCTGTGATGGGTTGGGACATGTTTGAGGGATTGTGGATAATGACCCGGTCGGAGGACGAAAAGCAAGACTGACCACAAAAGTCGCGCTCGGACGAACAGCCGGAGTGACTCACGCCGTGATGAGATCAGCGCGTCCGATTCTGCTCACAGCATACAAGTAGGTGGTAGGGCATCCTGGTAGGGTCGTGCGGAAGGGTATTTCATAGTACGAGGCCCACATATTATTTACTACCTTCCGGCAATCATTACGCCGTCGAATAAAAAAAAACAGGTTCAAACACGTACAACACTACTACAATACACTTGTAAACACACTTTCTCAACTTCTTTTTTTCTACCACGTCATGGCTCTTCGGACGGGTAACCCCACTCCGCCAATTCCACCTGCATCCCTCCACAGCTCCACAACCCTGTTTCTTCTCTGTACGTCTCCAGAGCGAACAGCATCCACGGCATACGCCATCACCTCCCTTTGAACACCCGCATCGGCTGCGTGAAGAATAATTGGTATCTCCCCTGCCGTCACACTTCGCACCTTTATGCCTGCCTCAAGACCAAACTTCACCTTTACACTATGTCGAACCGAAATTAGAGGCGAGACAAATGATATCACTGGCTGCTTGCTTTGTTGATTGGGTTTAACTCCCCGCAAGCTATCGAGGGGCACGTGCACCCGCTTTCTCCATAGATCACCACCATGTTGCGGCACGATACGGTGTACCAGGATCGTCTCCGCAAGATCTTTGACCTGTCGCTGCGCTGAGACCTGAACGTGGGCCTGTAACGTCATTTCAACCCATTTTATTCTACAGCCTGGTGGAAGGGAGGCAACGTGGATATCGGCAATCATTGTCTCATCTAAGGCGTAGGAGCGGGACAACAGGGTGACCTGGTACGTTAAGGATGTGGAGGGAGTAGTGGTAAGGTTGGAGAGTGTGGCAGATGGTTGGCTTGGGATGGGATGCACACTAGGTAGACCGGATGTGCTGGCTCGACGGCCGACTTGCGGTGCGAGAATGTGGTGGAGGTTGTATTTTCTACATTCAATGTCGTGTAAAAAGTATCAGTGACGCGCGTATTCGCGGCAAATCCCACAAGCATAACTTACGATAAAACCACGGGGATTCTGACAGAAACCTTTCTCCTCCTCCTTCGCCCCCATTCCAAGACGGCCAATATAGTATACCCAACTCCCCCATCTTCACATTTGAAACTCGGTGGTAAAATATCAGGCACGGAAAATCGAAAAGGTAACTCGTGGTCTCCACATTTCAGTGCCCCACTGTCCCCCAGGCATCCGACAACACTGTACGAAGGTAGTTCACTACCCAATAGCACGATCTGTTGATGCACTAATACCCGCTTCTCCCG